CAGACAGGATGAGTCCTGGATGAGCAGAGTTTGGGTCCAGAACCACAGGACTGTAGGAGACCAGGTCCTTCATCTTGTTCCAGATGTTGAAGGTCAGGTTGCCCAGGTGTTTGGCCTGGTCTATCAGAGCTCCTGAGGGCAGCTGTGGATCCTCCAGCAGGGGGCGCTGCTGGACTCTGTCCACTGCAGCCTTGTAGTTCTTCAGGAATGAGAGGTCTTCAGCTCTCAGCTCGTCCTCTGTGGCTCTGACTGTGTGTGACAGAGCTGCTATCTCTCTGCTCAGAGCCTCCATCTTCTCCTTCATCATGTGACTCTTCAGCTCCTCTTCCTCCCTCAGAGCAGTGATCCTGGCCTCCTCTTCCTCCTGTAGAAACTGGTGAAGCTTCTTAAAGTGCTCCTTGATCTGGCTCTCAGTGTGTCGGGCCTGGACCTTGATGTGTTGTGCTGTTTGGTCACAGTCTCCTTTAACTCGTTCAAACAGCTTCAGTTTCTCTTGTAAAGGCTTCAGGGCTTTCTGGAGCTCCTCTCTGTGATCCTCTGCAGCTTCATCAACGGGTCTGAAGCTGTGGTTGGTGTGTGTCTTTGAGTCTCGACAGACGAGACACACTGGCTGCTGGTGGTCCAGACAGAAGAGTCTGAGTTTCTCAGAGTGCAGACTGCAGAGAGGCTCAGACCCTGCTGAAGGTCTCTGATGTCTCTGCAGTAAGAAGTCCTCACACAGGTTCTTCAGGGACAAAGAAACTGGTGGTTCAGACTTTGATGATCTCCTCTTACACACTGGACACTGTTGTGTTACCTTCTCTCTCCACCAGCTCTGCAGACAGTCTCTACAGAAGCTGTGGCTGCAGGACAGGACAACAGGCTCTTTAAAGATGTCATGGCAGACAGGACAGGTGAGCTCCTCCTCTGACCGGGAAGACATGTCCTCTCTGAGTGAAGCTGAAAACACAAAGCCAGCACAGAGGTCAGTCAGGTGTGGTTTCCCTCACACTTTCACTTTCAGTCTTGTCTCTTATAAACTCACAGTTGGTGTGTGGAGTCGCTGCAGGTTGAAGTTGCTGTCGTCCTGTTTTCCCTCCTCTCTCTGTAGAAGCTGTTGTTTTGGTTTAAAGGTGAATCTCTTTAAATGTTTCTCAGCATCAACGTGTCTCTCAGGAGTGACGAACAGTATGAAATGGTATTTCCTGTTTCGTCTCAGAGTATCAGGAAAAGGGTGGAGCTTTAACAGACTGTTACTGAGAACAGTGTGCAGAGCTGTAAAAGTAGTTCTTCTTGTTGTGTTTGTTTGTACATGTATGTTCATATATTTCACCTGTTTCATACAGTGATCCGTGTTTAAGTGATATGAAATGAAATGAATACTTGAGGCATTCAGATCATCTGTCCTCTCCCACCCACAGTCTGATCACAGTGGAGCTGCTGGTTGATCTCTGCAGGAAGAAGGTCTGACAGGCTCTTTAAAGTCAAGTTACAAGGTGGATCACTCACTAAAGGTTTTTCATCAGACACTGGACACTCAGGGTTTGAATTATGGGGGGGTGAGGGGTCTGACCCCCCTGATTAAGGATTTGGACCTCCCAAAAGTGTTAATGTTAGCTAGTTTCTAACTGTAGCCTAAAGTTACAGTCTAGCTAACTAATGTTAGCTTGATTCTAACTTAAGGTTTAAGGTACATTTTAGCTAACGAATGTTAGCTAGTTTCTAACTTTAGCCTAAAGTTACAGTTTAGCTAACTAATGTTAGCTAGTTTCTAACTTAAGCCTTAAGTTACAGTCTAGCTCACTAATGTTAGCTTGATTCTAAGTTAAGTTTTAAGGTACAGTTTAGCTAACTAATGTTAGCTTGTTTTTAACTTTAGCCTTAAGTGACAGTTTAGCTAACTAATATTAGCTAGGTTCTAAGTTCAGCATTAAGTTACAGTTTAGCTAACTAATGTTAGCTAGGTTCTAATTTTAGCCTAAAGTTATGGTTTAGCTAACTAATGTTAGCCTAAGGGTTTAACGTTTAGCATTAGACTAGGACAGGGAATTGACGAAAGTGTAGCAGGAAGACGCAGAAACAATCAACATTCAGCTGTGTTTGTCACTTAGCTGGCTGAAATCACACTCAGTGGACATGAACACACGTTGAAACTGCTTTATTGAGTTCTGAAGAAAAAAGTCATAGTTAGTTGAGTGAACAGACCATCATCAGTAATTAATGAGAGAAGAAAGCCAGCAGAGATCAAAGATATGACACGTTGTGTTTGTGAACAAATCTGGACA